ATTGAGAGGAAACCAAAGAAAGAAAGAAAATCTTCTAGATCCAAAAGAAACTCTGAAAAGTTAGATACTGGCCAGGCCCTAACAAATTTAAACCAAATAGCTATTACTCCCCCCCAATACAGGACATTGAGGATAAAATAGATATAGTGGGAAATGATCTATGGACTGACATGATAAATAGTAACCCTGAGAAGAAGAATCAACTAAAACCCCAGTTGATGCAGCCTGAGAATTAGATGGAAGTTAAGATTAATGGCTAACACTCTAGCATTCTGTGGATACCCAAAACGGAAAGGGATACTTACCCAGAATGAACGCAAATGGAACTTGATCAGCACTCTAGAACCTATAATCCCTGAATTAACTTTCAGGTCCCAAATTCTAAATGTGGACTACGTATTCTACAATTATACCCAAGCATGTGCGATAGTAACATTCAAAGATAGCATAATAACCAATATGATTTATAGCAGAAAAAAGGAATTAGCTGAGAGGGGTATAACTGCTGTACAATATTTTAAAAACAAAGCACATCCCCTACCACTCTTGTGTGAGTACACTAGAGAAATGGAAAGAGAGACCCTAGCTTATGTCCAGGAGAAACATACAGAGGAAGACCTTATTCAAATGTTAGAAGATCACCCAACTGATTGGCAAAATGATTACAAAAATTTTATAAAAAAAAACAAGGATGATAGACATGCAACAGAAAGGATCAGCCCAGGCCTTGCTTGGCCAGAAGAGGAAGTAGGGACTCACCTTACCTCATCCTTTAGTAAATTGCCAACTGATGTGTGGGCAACCTTAGTGAATCACCTGGACTCCCTGGTTGCTACTTTGAGGGATCTAGAACAACCCCCAAATTCCAGTGATGACCTAGCAAGCCATCAACTGCCCACACTAGGATGCCCAGTGGAGACACAGGTTAAGGACAGAATTAAAATCCCCTGGAGCCCATGGTAATAATAAATAAAATGGTTCCCAGTTCTAACTTGGCAGTGCTTGCAGACCATCCCAATCTCTGTTTGATAACCAAGGCACCCCTAGATAACTCCCAGAGTAACCCTCCTGACATTATTGAAATAAATTCAGTGGCGAGTTCAATGCCTGACTTAGAATCATCCATGGATGATCCTGCTTCATATTGACTATTTGCAATTCAAAGCGAGCACCACCTCAATTTAGTCTGTGAAATCAGAAGCAACCTCTTGGGATGAATCCAGAACATGGGATAGCAGCTACTAGTAACCAAGTATTTTGACTCAACTTGTGAACATTTAATAAAAAGAGAGGTGCTGAAGGCCAAGGGATACTTTTGGATGGCATCATCACAGCTTGGCTTCAACAATAAGTAGGTACCTGCAATATCACCCTATTCTGTTTCCCCATAGGGACCTGACTCTGTATAAACAGAATGTTGGAATGAACAGTCTGATTCAGTATGGCTCTTCTCAAGAGCTTGTTCACTTGAAGTCAACAAGAGAAAGGAATTGGGGGCAGTGAGGGGAGAGATGATCTTACTTAAAGAAAATATTATACTGGAGTGAGGGGAGAGGCAGTTAAAACTCTGGAAGGTGCCCCAAACCTCGACAAAACAAAGAGATAATATCTACCTAATATCCAGGGACAATGTTACTGTAAGTGATAAAGAAATTAATACCTGTTGGTGCAATTTACCTTGAAAGTACTTCAGTGAGCTTTACAAAGCCAGCATAAGCCAACTCAAATGCCCCTCTATGTCTTGACTTCAGAAGATGATGCTTGAAATAGCCCCCAATGCTTTTCACCTAAGAAAAAGGATTAAAAAAAAAGAAAACCACAAATTTTTATATCAACACTAACAATGTTTGTAGAATGTAAAGTACATCTAAAATAATAATAATTAGTACTAAAATAATTATCCTGAAGGGGAAAGAATAAAACGGTTGTTGTTATGTTCATCAAGCTATTTAAGTCTTTGGCAGTGCTGAAACATTGATTTTATCTGTTTTAGTTTGATATGATTTTTGTATTTGTAATAGCGTCAATATTTGGGTTTTAAACCGTTTGTCAAGTCCCTCTACAGGGAGACAGGCAGTTTAGAAAACAAACAAATAAAGGTAAGCAGATGTTGTTTGTGATATACATACATACGTATTTTCATACACTTGCAGTCTGAAGGGATGCAAGCGAAATAAAAAATCCCATTGAAATGGATTGAAAATCGTTCAATGCGTTCCAATGGGCGAAATACCTCACCGTCCAGCGATAATCCTCCATAGGGCGGCCATTTTCCAGTGCCTGTCTTGTGAATAATCAGTCCTGAAAACAGCGGGGAGCCATTTTGAACAGCAGGTGGCCATTTTGAGAGCCGCAGATAAGCTGTTATAAATCACTGTTTAGTGAAAAATCGGTTCCCAAAGCAGGGAACCGTTCATCGTAAAGCGAATTTCCCTATCTAAACATCGTTCTGCGATCGCAAAAGTGATCACAAAAGCATCAACGTCAAGTGATTTCCTCGTCAAGTGGGGTAATCGTTAAACGGGACACGACTGTATCCTTTCAGACTGCAGGTGGAGGATGAAAAAGTTGACTGCTTCTCCACACCAGAACAAAGTATCTACATATTCTCATATCAACTAGCACTCAAAAGAGACTGTTCTATATAACAGATTTTCCCACCATGCTAGTTTTCTGTCAATACGAAATGTATTATGTAGAACATCCTTGTGGATCCAACTTTCTAAAATCTGAAGTAGTACAGCTGGAGTCTTTCTCATCTCTTTTAGCTTTTGTTTCCAGACTGTTGCTTTTACTCATTTTGTTTTTATCTCTTCAAACTCTTAGCCATCTTCAGTTGGTTTGTTTTTAAAGGAGAAGTAGAATATAAGTACTGCAGTTATTTTTTAGCAAAAATAGTGTATTTTTAAATGTGGTTGTAACCCCCCCCTTGGAAGGGCAATAGATACATAAAATGAATAACCATAAAACAATAATTAAAGACATATTTACTCCTAATGCACAGATTTTAAGAGTTGTGGTGTTAGTGATATGGGAAATTATACTGAAACAGAATACTTTGCTAATACTCCAAGGACTTAAAGTGGACAGTGAACGTATTTATATAAATCCCATTGAGATCTGTGGGGCTCTGCTCCCAAGCTTGTTCATGTAAGAACAAGACAACCACATGTGTAAACATTTTCCTTGCCATACCCTGGCACAGCTTGCTTGCGTAAGTAGCAAAACCAATTATTTTTTTTAAAAAAAAATGTCTGAGGAGTAAGCAGAGAATTCAGTCCATGCCTCTTTCCAGTGTGACAAGTAACACACTGAAGGAAGGCATCATTCTGCTTCTATAATACATGGAGGTACTATACAAGCAAAGCTGCACGTAAACAGAGCTTCTCTCATGATAACATATTTATCTTATTTATTTAATTAATTTATATGCCGCCCACACTACCAAAAGGTCTCTGGGTGGCTTACAACATTTAAAATACAATAAAAAGTCAAAAATTAAAATGCAATTAAAATATAAACTCTAAAAATTGCAATCGGACCCACAGCTGATATTATTTCAATTAACAGGAAGGTTTTGACCTGGCGCCGAAATGTCATCAGCGTCGGCGCCAGACAAATCTCAGTCGGGAGGGCATTTCATAGTCTGGGGGCAACTGCCGAAAAGGCCCTTTGTCTACAAGCCGTCCCTCTTACCTCCTTGATGGACGGTTGTTTCAAAAGGGCCCTCTGGCTAGATCTTAACTGCCGGGTAAGTTCATATGAAAGGAGGCGGTCCTTCAGGTATCTAGGGCCCAAGCCATTTATGCAGACATAAACACCCTTGACTCTGTGTCACATTTATACTACTTCTGGGGCAATGTGTTCTGAAGACACTATCTATCTGTCTATCCATCTATCTATCAATCTATCTATCATCACACCTTTCTTCCAACAAAGTGACCCAAGCTGGTGTACTAAAAACAAAAAGATAACTTTTCCAAGTTCTGACTTTCATTATACTAGGCAACACAATACAGGCACATAAATTATACAAGGCAATATAGTACACATTTATAGACAAAGGACATCTTTTCAAGCAGCCTACATGGGCTTTTCTAGGCTGCTTGAATCCTTGAACTATGCTTCTTAAATTTCTTAAAAGTTCTTTATTAGACCCACTGATTCAGGTTTTGCAAAACCTGCCAAGTATATAAAACAGTTCAGCAACTCAGACAAGTAAACCCAGCTAAGAACCACTACAGTGGGGTCTTGACTTGAGAACTTAATCCATATTGGAAGGCGGTTCTCAAGTCAAAAAGTCTGTAAGTCAAGTCTCCATTGACCTACAGTGCATTGAAAACCGATTCATCCCGTAACAGGCCGTTTTTGTTCCATTTTGGTTTTTTTCTGGTCTGTAAATCGAATCTCAGTCTGCAAGTGAAACCTAAATTTTGCGGCCAGAGAAGTCTGTAACTCAAAAAGTCTGTAAGTCAAGCCGTCTGTAAGTCAAGGGTCCACTGTACTAGACAAATATCTGCACGCACAGCCACCTTGTGAACTTCAGAGCAGAGCACCATGGGTTCCAGTGGGATTCACATATGTGTAACTGGATAGGCACCACTGGCCAACAAATATGCAGTCAACAAAAAAGTAATTCTGAGAAATCTCTTATTTCTTTATTTCTAATTCTAGAATTTGTTTTCTGAAACAGTAGATTGGCAAGAACATGATAAACAAGGATACAATGGCTAAAAATTGGTCAATAAAAGATCGCTAAATGAGAGATTTCTTTTAAAATTGTTGTTAACCAAACAGCTTACATTTATAGCTGTATTTTCATGAGAAGCTCACAGCACTGGCATCAAAAAGTGAATATAACTCTGCAAAACCAATTCCTGTTTGACTTGGAAGAGAACAGGGAACTTAACAGTGGAGGTATATTGCTGGTCAGTGTTTTGCACTTCCAGAGCTTTGAAAACTGCAAGCACAGCTGTCAGCCAGATGAAAACATCTTCTGGAGACAATGTGTAAATGAAAATATTAACCTTATTTCCATGGCTCTGCAACACAGGAGAGCAATAGCTGGCCATCAGTAAACTCTGAAAACTGTGTTCTCAGTGAAAAGGATACAATATTTCTACAGATGTAATTTTTAAAAAAAAAATCCTGAAGTTTCCCAATGTCTACCTTCCATTAAGGAGTGGAAGTAGGACTGAGAGAAAAAGGAAAAAAAGCACATTGTGTGTGTTCGTCTCCCAGGGTGGAAACTGGATTGGTTGAAACCATATGGGAAAGGGAAAAGGTCATCAATTAAAAACAGAAATCTAATAAATTGAAAATATTTCCAAATGAAATACTTGTGGTAAGCTAATTTCATGTAAACACTGCAGTCTGTTCTCTTGAACAGTCCCAGATGGTACACTAGCTTTGGTGGACTTTAAAAAGGGAGGGCTTTAAAAAGAAAAAGCCAGCCCTGAATGTACATAATTCTGTCATCCACCCTGTGGGGAACCCGATATCCTCAATCAATCAATGTGTTTGTTGTCCAGAATTACAGACCATAAAAGCTGTGCTAAAATGACCATTTCATCAGATCTCGCCTTGCCGTCTGTCAAACAAATAACAAATATGTGGAAGAGAAACCCAAGTCAGTACAGTACGTTAATTCTAAAAGCTTAATGGATCTTCCTACTAAATAGAAGACTCCCCCAGAATATCAACTGTAGATTACATATAAAACTACTTTTAAAAAAGTTCGTCCAAGGGAATAATATCCTATCTATTATCAGGGTAAACAGCGACTAAAAGGTACTTAGATGGTAAATTCACAAACAATTCAACAACACCTCTCAATATGTCATCCCTGAACATTTTGTCTCTTGAAATCAATCTGTTGAGTTACTGATGAATGCCAATTATAGAGAAGTGAGCCAGTCAAAAGATTCTCATTTTAAAGGAGGCATAGTTGTGGGCACCAACCTAAACATTTCTTCCTGTTGGCCTGTCAATGAAACAACTACATTCTTTTGAAAACGACAAACATTGGGCAGCAAATAAAGTTGCAATAGAAAAAGGCCCACCATCTAATTCTTCCAGTACTTTAAATATTTTTCCATACACAATGTCAAAGCTTTGAGTATAAAAAGAAAAAAAATTACCTGCTCTACAGTTATCAGTGCATCTGAACCAAGCAGTGTCTGCGATGGCAGAAGTTGACACAACTTCCCGAGAAGTAATGATATCTCCTTCATGCTTCGCCAACAACATACTAAGACCATTTGCGCTGTTACATCACATGGCTGCTGCTTTTCCTCTAAAACAAGCAAACACAATATATAATATCATCCAATTAAGGCTTTAATAATCTATATACAACATAGAATTTGATCTTCATTCCAAACTTACTCTTTTGAAAGTCCCTTTTCAAAAACAAACTGTGAGAGTAAACTCCTTAGCTTAGCAATGGAGAAACACCGTTAACCAGGAAGCAAATCGGATTAAATTTAATGTCAGGATGGTGTATTTTGCTAATTGATAAAGCACAGAAAGAGATTTACAAGATACCAGGTTCAATCTTTGTGTAATTAACATCTTGTTCAAATCTCATTAGAGACATACCCAACTGATATCATCAAAAAGAACCTAGGTTAACACAGCTGTGTATGGTGAGCCGACAGCTGGGTTTGAAAAAGCACAAACCCTCTGCTGTGAAACTGCAAGGTGAGTTTGTTAGGATTCTAGTCCCAGTGCTACAGGAAGATGTAAGAAGTAAATGAAGATGAAGAATGTAATAATTACTGGCAATCAGTTGCTGTCAGTAACTTCATTCCTATTGCACTAGCAGAGCTCTGCAAGAAGATAGTGGCCAGAAATTATGAAACAGAAAGAGAAATTTAGGATGAACTTAGCTCCACCACCAGTGATAACAGTGACATCATGTAAACTATGCTAAAATCTAAATAATTATGCTGGATCTTAATTACAGGTTCATTTAAGTGAAGCCCAGTATGTACTCAGACTTCCAAGGATGCAATGATGCATCCTGCTTGTTCTTACTCTATCTAGAATATAGGGGGGCGGCTAATTATTATATTCACTTCCCCTTCAATTCATTGCAGAAGCAGTCAATATACCTCTTGAACTCCTTTACTGGGACGTAAGAGTGTAGTGGTACAATCCTGAAGCTGTCATTGCAGGCATAAACCTGCAGAGGCTGGCGATGAGAATGGACCAGTGGATTGATTCCTGCTGACATTTTCAAAGAAACAGACCTCACGGAAGCCAAGAAATAAAATACCAACCACACACCTTCTTAAGTCATCACAGTGAGAAACAGGGTGGGGTGGGGTGAGGTTCTTTCCTATTTCTGGCCTCAGTAGATCAGCAGCATATGAAGGCAGGACGTCTCTTGGCTTCTGTCTATGCTGCTTGGCAATTGATTAGAATCATCAGTTTGACCCCATGATTACATGGGCTCCCCACAATTGGTCTGGTGATCAGCACTGATAATCCATTTAGGACCATGTTTTTGTTGTTTCATCGTTAAGTCATGTACGACTCTTCATGACCCCATGGACCAGAGCACGCCAGGCCCTCCTGTCTTCCACTGCCTCCCGGAGTTTGGTCAAATTCATGTTGGTAGCTTCGATGCCACTGTCCCTACATCGCGACTGTAAAAACCATAGCTTTGACTATTTAGACCTTTGTCGGCAATGTGATGTCTCTGCTTTTAAAGATGTTGTCTAGGTTTGTCATCGCTTTCCTCCCAAGAAGCATGCATCATTTAAGTTCGGGGCTGCTGTCACCATCTGCAGTGATCATGGAGCCCAAGAAAGTAAAATCTGTCACTGCCTCCATATCTTCCCCTTCTATTTGCCAGAAGGTGATGGGACCAGTGGCCATGCTCTTAGTTTTTTTGATGTTGAGCTTCAGACCATTTTTTGCACTCCACTCTTTCACCCTCATGAAGAGGTTCTTTAATTCATCCCCACTTTCTGCCATCAAAGTTGTATCATCTGCATATCTGAGGTGGTTGATTCAGTATTTCTTCCAGCAATCTTAATTCTGCTTGGGATTCATCCAGTCCAGCCTTTCACATGATGTATTCTGCATATAAGTTAGGACCATGTATACATGACTAAATGCAGAATTTCTTTTTCTGCACCATTTTGCATAATCAAGAAATAAGAACGTGGAAAGAGAACCTTGCTTTCACAAGTGAATTATCCATAATACATTGTGGCAACAAGAAAATACAGGAAAGCGTTTCAGACAGGCCTGTTCCAAACTGACTCTGAATTAAACACACTACAGATTCAGATGGCCCTGAGAACATACTGCCTTTTTTCCTTATGGAAAACAGGTCACTGCTGATGTATCTTTTCTGGCAGATGTGGGGATCAGCCAATATGTCTCAGAATCTAAAATATTAGAGACAACCATGTGAGGGTTGTGATTAAGGGATGTGAAAGTAAAATCAACTGAAATATTTTAAAACATTAAATGCCAGTAAAGCCGTTTCTTTTTAACACTGTATGTATAAGGATGAAACTATTGCATTAAAGAGGAAAGTACACTTAATATTCGCTATTAATGTCAGACTTCTAGATATCTCAGATTCTCCAAATCTTAATAATTTTGAAATACAGGTTCTTATAAAGGACATCTGTAAGTATGTGAAATTCAACATCTCCATCTAATGGCATTTATGCAAATAGCAGTTAATTTTCTCTAGAACTACCTAAAATTGCTGGCAACCATGCCGCTTGGTTGATTAGGAAAAAAAAGTAATGCAGGTTAGGTGAGGACTCAAGACTTTCTATATGACATACACTCATGTTTTATGACAATAAAGGGCACTTATTAGCATTGTGGAAGAATATCAATAACATTCAATGAAAATTACTAGTGTTAGAAAACAAATAATCTAATAGTTATTTAGGTATCCTTCAGTCTCGAAAGACTATGGTAATGTGCTCTGTATGGAGGACTTGGAACAGCATCTAGTGTGGCTGGGGATGCCGATTCGAGAGTGACAATCCCTTCCACACTGAAGACAAATCCAATCTGTCCCCTGTCCAGCTCCCTGATTTTGCTGCTTTTGTGACTTCCTCTTTGCCTCGGCCTGCTACACAAGGGTCTCTTCAAAATTGGAGAGGCCATGATGCAACGCCTGCCTCCAGGCTGAATGCTCAAATGTCAGAGTTTCCCATCTGTTGAGGACCTCAACAGAATCTAATAGTATTGAGATGTAATATCACTACATTGGATAAATATTTTTACTTATTCAACTTACAAGTTTCTTGACAGCTGGGTATTGCACATTTGTTGTTGTTGTCGTTGTCGTTGTTGCGGTTATGATGTGCCATCAAGTCAGAACCGACTTACAGTGATCCTAATAGGGTTTTTCAAGGTAAGAGGGGCTTTATCAGTTCCAAACCCCAATGAATTTCCATGGCAGAATCAGGAAAGTGAACGTATGTCTCCTGAGTTCTAGTCCATTACACCACACAGGGGCCCTACTGCACATTCCCAGAACACAAATTAATAAAACAATCAAGGTAAATACTAATTTAAAAATTAGTAATTGCTAAACACCAAATTATTAAATACTGGCTGAAAGTCATGACATCTTTTCCAGGGAGGTCCGGAAGGAAAGAACGAGGAACCAGGCCTTCTCGGCAGTGGCCCCTCGCCTCTGGAACAACTTGCCAGTGGAGATCCACCTGGCTCCCTCTCTGGGTGTCTTCAGGAGTAAACCTAAGACCTGGTTATTTGGGCAGGCTTTCCCTCCTGACATATCTTAAATTCTATATTTTCGCCATCTTGGATTTATGTATATATTTATTGGTCTAACAATTTTTAAATTTGTAATGTTGCCCAGAGTAGACCTTTGGTCTAGACGGGCGGGGTGGAAATGATACACCTGGCTCCCTCTCTGGGTGTCTTCAGGAGTAAACCTAAGACCTGGTTATTTGGGCAGGCTTTCCCTCCTGACATATCTTAAATTCTATATTTTCGCCATCTTGGATTTATGTATATATTTATTGGTCTAACAATTTTTAAATTTGTAATGTTGCCCAGAGTAGACCTTTGGTCTAGACGGGCGGGGTGGAAATGATAATAAATAAATAGATAGATAAATAATTAGATAAATAACTAAATCCTGCTGTTCCCAGCAGCTTCCCAATCATGAATGTGATTCCAGGAGATCCTTGCGGACAGACAGACAGACAGACAGACAGATCCTGCTGTTCCCAGCAGCTTCCCGATCATGAATGTGATTCCAGGAGATCCTTGGGACCTGGATGGTCTAGATGGGCGGGGTGGAAATCTAAATAAATAAATAGATAGATAAATAATTAGATAAATAACTAAATCCTGCTGTTCCCAGCAGCTTCCCAATCATGAATGTGATTCCAGGAGATCCTTGCGACCTTCTGGGGAGAAACTGGAAATGTTTTATTTCCGAGAAATCACTGTGGTTGATGCCATCAGTCATACGTGGCAAAATCTACATCAACAGGATTTCAGCCACGAGTTAAATGACTTAATAGAATTTATCCTAATTCTGTAATATATACCATGGCAAAGAATTTTTAAAAGGAATGCTAAGAATTTTAGATTTTCATGCAAAAAACAGAGAGCACACCAACTGAGACTTTTAGAGTTTTAAAATATCCTTGGCTTTTACTAAAAATTCTGACCCTGTTAAGAGTGGTTCTGAGATACAGGCAATGACATATCTACTGAATCCATGTCCTCTTAAGCTGTTCAAGGACAGGGTGGCACCTCAAAACAAAGGCTTACTGAATGCCCGCTTCCAATGTTCCTTTACTGAGAAAGAAAGAATCCCACTCCAGAGCCTGTTTTTTTCAACTCCTGTTTCTAATTAGCTTACTGCCATCAAAGTATTCTATATCTATGGGGGACCATATCCAGAGGCTTCAGGTAGATAAACACTGTGACAAATATACAGGTAATGGAACTCTGAAAGCCAAAGAATAGCAACTATCATAATGCAATAGCCAACAACCCAACTCCAGGCTTTTCTAAAAAACATGGGAGAACACCTTTTCTTAACTATTCCATTTCATTGCCACAAGCAGGCAAAGACGTTTTCCTTCAGGCAAGCTTTCCCTTGGTGACTGGCTGCCTTGAGTGGAATTTTTAAATGGATTGCTACGCATTACTGCTTTGAATGTGTTTTTAGTATTCCTTTTGTTTACCATTTCTCAGAATGGTATTTATTTGTTCCTTTTAAATATTTACTTGTTGTTTCTAGCTTTATTGTCATTTAATGAGGTAAGTCACCTTCATAAACTCATAGTTTTTAGCTTTCAATGTTGACTTTTAATTAAGTAAGCCACCTTTATATATTCATTGTTTTTAGCTTTATAGTCTTTTAATTATGTTAAGCTGCCTTGAGTCCCTTTTAAGAAGAAAGGCAGGGTAGAAATGTTCTAAATACTAAAATAAATAAATTGTTCTTAAATAATTTACTATTCCATACTATTCTTGACTAAAAAAAAACCCAATTTGGATAAATACATTTTATGTATTTATGAAATGTATTTCATAATATATGAAATATACGCATTATGTATTAAAGAGTTGCTTTACCAGCCTTTTTCCTCTCTTATTATTTTACAAAGATGAATAACCAAAATCCTAAGGCATCTAATTATAAAAGACTGAGTCCATTTTTAGAAATGTTGCAACTTTTGTAAGTGACTTGGGGGGGAATAATATTTTAGAAGTTAAATAAACTGTAAGAAGCTTACAGCATCTTATATATATTTTACTGCTTAGTGTGGTGTGCTCTGTTGGCTTCTGAGTTTACAAATTCTGTACTGTTGGATATTGTATTACTGATATTGTATTAGTTATTAATACTCCACAGTGACAGGGCTGCCAAACCCAAACTGTTTGCCTAAATGAGCTGGCAGAATCCAAGCAGCAGCTGAGCCCCACAAAATGATCTCTGCTTTTTGCAGAGTGAAAAGGCATTCTGACTTGTACGGATTTCTACTATGGAACCATTAAAACCACCCTCACCCACAGGCTTCACTCCAAATTACCTCTCATTTCAAGGTGGATGTTTTCACCTGTCCCAGCAGCACTCTCCACCCTGCAAGGTTCTTTCAGTACTTTTGCTTCTGTGAAATAATCATTCGTATCGCATGGCTGTATCTCCAGTAGAATCGACTGCAAGTGTTCTGAAGTGTCTACAGGAAAACAAAAAGGTGGCTTAAAAAGGAGCATGGGGCAAACAAAAGTTGATTCATCAATAATCCCTCAGGAGAGGGCGTGAGCTTCATGGCCCAAGGGGCAAATTTCACTTTGAGGAGAAATTCAGGGCCACATTCCAGCAGAGGACAGAGGCAGGTATTAGTCTTATCAATTTGGACATTTTTCCACTATGTAGACAAATCACAATTCAGATCTACTCAGGGGACGCTCAATGGCAATAGTTACTCATCTTTAGAGCAGAGCTCAGCTCCATACAGTTACTTCTTGGCCTTTAAATACTGTCCTGTTTTTTTTCCAAACACTAACTGTAGATTAACACCAAAAACAACTTACAGACAGGAGAGGGAATATATATATATAGGTAAAGGTTCCCCTTGACAATTTTTGTCCAGTCGTGTTCGACTCTAGGGGGCGGTGCTCACCCCGTTTCCAAACCATACAGCCAGCATTTTGTCCGAAGACAATCTTCCGTGGTCACATGGCCAGTGCGACTTAGACACGGAACGCTGTTACCTTCCTACCAAGGTGGTACCTATTTATCTACTTGCATTTGCATGCTTTCGAACCGCTAGGTTGGCGGGAGCTGGGACAAGCGACAGGCACTCACTCCGTCGCATGGATTCAATCTTACGACTGCTGGTCTTCTGACCCTGCAGCACAGGCTTCTGCGGTTTAGCCCGCAGCACCACCACGTCCCCTTATATATATAAAATTCATTTTCCATTGGGTAAAGAAAGATCATAGGGAAGGGGATCTGGAACAGGGTACCGGGGTAAATGTGGGACGTGGTGGCGCTGCGGGTTAAGCCGCAGACGCCTCTGTGCTGCAAGGTCGGAAGACCAGCAGTTGTAAGATCGAATCCATGTGACGGAGTGAGCTCCCGTCACTTGTCCCAGCTCCTGCCAACCTAGCAGTTTGAAAGCATGCAAATGCGAGTAGATAAATATGTTCCACCATGGTGAGAAAGTAACAGCATTCCATGTCTAGTCGCGCTGGCCACGTGACCATGGACACTGTCTACGGACAAACGCTGGCTCTATGGAAACGGGAATAAGCACTGCTCCCTAGAGTTGGATAAGACTGGACTAAATGTCAAGGGGAACATTTACCTTTTACCTTACTGGGGTAAATTAAAAAATACAGAATGTGATAGAGAACAATATAGATCATTATTCTTTTTATTGATATGTTTTCTTACTAAGCTTACTTCACACTTATCTTGCCATTTTTTTCTAAGCCTTTAAACTCTACAATTGTGTCTTATATCTTCTTACAATTTTAATACATTCATGTTCTCATCTTTCATCCAATTATACAGAGGTTCCCACTTTTTTCTGGCCTCAAAAATTTCTTTGTCCTTTAATACTTCAGCTAAAATATCCATCTCTGCTGCTTCAAAAAAATTTTTCTATTAACTCCTGAATTGTTGGAGTCTTCTCTTTTTTCCAGTATTTGGCATATAAAATTCTTGCTGCTGTACTTACATTATCAAATATCTTTTCTCTTTTTTATTATCAAATCTAGTATTATATTCAACAAAAACAGTTCAGGTTCATATTGAATTATAGAGGATAACATTTTTTGCAAAAACTCATGGACTAGTTTCCAAAAACTCTTAACTTCCCTACAAGTCCACCACATATGATAGAGACTACCTTCTTTTAATTTGCATTTCCAACATTTGTTAGTGGTACCTTGGTATATTTTCGATAACTTTTCAGGTGTCATATACCATCTATACCAGGAGAGGGAAGCAATACTGACGGGCTGGAGTTTTCCATCCCTGCTTTAAAGCCTGTGATGTCCTTGATGCCAGGCATACTCTTATCTCTTGCCTCATATCCTGATTCATTCTTTCCCATGAATGAATGAGTGTATGCTACTTTTCATTGTATTTTTGTGTTATAGTCACATCTGGATATATCTCTTGGTCAATGACCGTAATAAAGCTCATTCATTCATTCATTCATTCATTCATTCATTCATTCATTCATTCATTCATTCTTGCCCATGACATTAGCAGAAAGTTTCTTGATCACTTAAATAAATCTATATATAACCAGTTGTGAACCTTTACACTCGCAATAAGTGTCACAAGGTCTCTCTAATTTCTTGAAACTCAATAGATGAAATCAATTTTCTGCAAACTTGGACTTAATTTTTATAGTCTTCGCTTCTTTATTAGCATTCTCCAACAGGATCTGCTGGTGATGTTGGATTACAACTCTCTGTTCTTAGCAAAGATCACACTGGAGAAGGATAATGGGTCTCCCAACCTAGTATGTTTCTGGAGAACACCAAGCTGGGGTCTGCTACAGTTTTTGTTCGTTTGTTACATTTCTATGCCACCTTTCTACTGACAGTGGGACTCAACACAGCTCAAAAAGCACTAAAAGAACAATAATTAAAAACAATCATATAAAATCTACTAAGCAAAAAATAATCGAAATCATCACATGAAACAGATTAAGAAATATAAAAACAAATTAAAAGGATATGTTAGAAGAGAATATAGGGCAATTACTGTATTATGTTAGATATATTACACACCAAAAGCCTATTGAACTAAAAATGTTTTAACTTGCTGCTGAAAAGAGAGGGGGGCAGCCTAGACCCACCTCTTTTAGGTCCCTGTCAAACATACTGTACATGTTAAGGTAACAGGATCGTTTTAACTTGCTGCTGAAAAGAGAGGGGGACAACCTAGCCTCACAGTTAAAGCATTTCATAACCTGGGAGCAACCACCTCTTTTAGGTCTCTGTCAAACATACATGTTAAGGTAACAGGATTAAGAGAAGGGTCTGAGGAAGGTTATACGGGGAGATATGCCCCATCAGACAGCCTGGGTCCATGCTGTAATAGGGCTTTATAAGTGAAAACTAACATTTTGAACTGGGCTAGGAAATGGACCAGTAGCCAGTGAAGTTACTGTAACAGTGGAGTTATATGCTCCCTGTAACCAGCCCCAGTCAATAGACTGGCTGCAGCATTTTGCATCAGCTGATGTTTCTGAACAGCCCACGTAGAGCCCTTGCAGTAATCCAAATGAGGTGTAACTAAGGCATGTGCCACTGTAGCCAAATCTGACATTTCCAGGAATGGGCACAGCTTTAACTATGCAAACGGACTCCTGGCCACCACTGAGACCTGGGCTTCCATGCTGAGAGATGAGCCAAGCGGTACTCCCAAACTGCAAGCCTGACTTTTCAGTGTAATTGCGTCGGACACGACTAAACGACAACAACAACCTCTGTCTTGCTGGACTGCGTGCCTTCATCCACTCCATTGCTGATGATAGATACTGGTTTAGAACAGAAACCACTTCCTTGGAGTTAGATAAGAAAGGTTGAGTTGAGTGTCACCAATATACTTGTAGCACCAAACTCTAAAAATTCACACAACCTCTCCCAACCTGTATTGTAGTACATGAGAACTATGTCTAAACACAGCTACATTCAAACATATTCCTCCTTCATTGCCTTTGTCTTTTCTTATCTCCTGTCATTCTGAATATCAGGTAACACGTTTCTCACAATATGAATCTCCCTTCTTGCTTATAGTAGTGGTGGTACCAACCACAGCTACTATTCTTTATGAGCAGAACACTGTATTAATAAGTATTAATAATTTTGACCACATGGGGTCACAAAAGTTCTATACTATACCACAGGCATAATATAAAACCCGTTTCATCTTAAATGATCTGGTAAGGGAATCTGTTTCTGTGACAGAAAGAAAACTGAAAGGAATTTATATTATTATTTATATTATACTGCCCTCCCTCTGCTGTTGAAAGTAACAAGCATCCATTTTCACTCACAAACTTGCTTGGGGAATCTGACTGGCAAGTACATAAAAGGTTTTTTGACAACTTTTCACATCACACATGGACTAGAAGAGGAACACAGAAAGGGGAGACAAGGTAGTGACTGCAACAAGTGAGAGAATTAGATTTTTTTTATGTGACCTTGTAAAAGCAGGACAAGCTCAAAGTTATGGGGAAGTTCTTAAAAATTATCACATCAAAAGATCCAAGATTTCTAAAACTGTTTCTGTGTTACCGAAATTGGTGTCCATTGGAATGAGGCCTTCTGGTGAGGAACTTTGAACTACTGGAGACACTACATCAGAAATCTTATAGGATATCCTAATAAGCTTTGCCACCATTTCTTTCCATTCAGCAACAAGTGTCATATTCCTGTAAGAAGATAAATCCATGAAATCAAAATGAACACATCATTCTAATGCAGGGGCTTATTGAAAAACAAGAACAAAATAACCTTTTAAGATACATTTTAAGCAGCATATATAGTATATCACAGGTGTCATATTCCTGTAAGAAGATAAATCCATGAAATCAAAATGAACACATCATTCTAATGCAGGGGCTTATTGAAAAACAAGAACAAAATAATCTATTGAAAAACAAGAACAAAATAACCTATATCACAGGAGTGAGTACACCCCCTCACATTTCATAAATATTTTAGTACAGTATATATTTTCATGTGACAACACTGAAGAAATGACACTTGGCTACAATGTAAAGCAGCAAGTATATACCTTGCATAAATGTGCTGTCCCCTCAAAATAACACAACACACAGCCATTAATGTCTAAACTGCTGGCAACAAAAGGGAGTACACCACTATGTGACAATGTCCAAATTGGGCCCAAGTAGCTGTTTCCCCTCCCTGGTGTCATGAGACCTGTTAGTGGTAGAATATACCAGATGGGCAAGATATCAATTGAATAAATAAATAAAATTAGTGTCACAAGTTGCAGGTGTGAAGGGGGAGCAGGTGTTATCACTCTCACTCTCTCAGACTGGTCGCTGGGAGTTCCACATGGAACCTCATGGTAATGAACTATCTGAGGATCCGAAAAAAATGAATTGTTGCTCTACATAAAGATGGCCTAAGCTAGAAGAAGATTGCCGAAACCCTGAAACTGAGCTGCAGCATGGTGGCCAACACCATACAGCAGTTTAACAGGACAGGTTCCACTCAGAACAGGCCTTGCCGTGCTCAACCACAGAAGTTGAGTGCCACAACCAGAGGTTGGCTTTGGGAAATCGACATATGAATGCTGCCAGCATTGCTGCAGAAGTTGAAGGGGTGAGGGGTCAGTCTGTCAATGCTCAGACCATACACCGCACACTGCATTAAACTGGTCTCCAGGGATGTTGTCCCAGAAGGAAGCCTCTTCTAAAGATGATGCAAAAGAAAGCCCACATACGGTTTGCTGCAGACAAGCAGATTAAGGACATGGATTTCTGGAACCATGTTCTGTGGTCCAATGAGACCAAGATAAACTTATTTGGTTCAGGTGGTGTCAAGCGTGTGTGGCGGCAACCAGGTGAGGAGT